TCTCTGTCTGTCTCTCGATTTTTCTTCTTTCTTCCATCTCTGTCTCTGTATCTTGCTCTCTCCCTCTCTCTCTCCCTCCGCACATTCACTCTTGCTCTCTCCCCTCTCTCTCTCCCTCTCGCACATTCACTCTTGCTCTCTCCCCTCTCTCTCTCCCTCTCTCCCATCTTCCCCTCTCTCTCTCTAATTCAATCGCTCGGCATACGACCCCACTCGGTCATTCCTACACCCCACCCCCTTCCTAAACCCACTAACCCCACCCCACCCCCACCCTCTCCACCGCCCCCCGCCGCCCGCCACCCTACTTATGTTCAGTTAAATTAGTCTTCGTTCAGCTGCGTGCCAATTTTCTCCGCTTAAGCGCTGTGAGCCNTGGCTGTTCTATACAGGTGGCTGTTCTATACAGGTGGCTGTTCTATAGAGGCGGCTGTTCTATATAGGTGGCTGTTCTATAGAGGCTGCTGTTCTATACAGGTGGAGCTGCCTCTATTGAACAGTCACCTGTATAGAACAGCCACCTCTACAGAACAGCCACCTTTATAGAATAGCCACCTATATAGAACAGCCGCCTCTATAGAACAGGTTCTATACAGGTGGATGTTCTATAGAGGTTCCTGTATAGAACAGCTGGCTGTTCTATAGAGGCAAACAGCCACCTATGTAGAACAGCCACCTATATAGAACAGCCAGTAGAGGTGTGCGCTGACACCGATGTAACGTCGCACCCACGTTAAGTACAGTTATTGTATATGTATGGTTAGAAGTTATCGTGAAACCGAGGAAAGGTTAGCTGCCTCGACCATTAGATGGAAAGGAGTCACACAAACTTTAATGAAAGGGTCACTCAAGGGAAACCACAAGTGTCCTTTATAGACAGGTGTCTGTTACGTAGAGGTGTCCGCTCACACAGCTAGGTTTAATCGTGGTCCCTACTATCAGAGGTAGGCTCAACGATTGTGTGTGGAAACTGCAGTATTNCCTCCCTCCTCTCCTCCCTCCCTCCTCTCTCTCTCTCTCTACCCCTCTCTCTCTACCCCTCTCGCGCACGCATCGCACGTTACCCACCTTTCCATTGTCGCCCGGCGCGACGCCGCCGCCTACCCCGCCACCGGGTGGCGCTGCCGAACCGACGGCGCCCGCGTGGGAGGAGGGTGTCGATGCTGCGGCCGCGGCGGCCATGATGCTGGACGGCTTGACCATCGGCTGGCTGGCGACGGTCAGAAGTGACGAGGAAGACGGCAGCGGCGGCTTGTGAACGCCGAGGGAGCGCTGCTGAGAGTCGGCCACGGCACCCCCAGAGGGCGCTGTAACAGCGTCGCAAACGTCAGATGTGAGAGGGAGTGGGGGGGCGGGGGGGAGGGAGAGAGGGGGGGGGAGGGAAAGGGAGAGGGGAGGGGGGAGGGGGGAGGGGAGGAGGAGGAGTAGGGGGGAGAGGAGGGAGGGGGAGGGAGAAGGAGGAAG